TGTTGTTGTTGATGATGATGATGATAAAATTGTGATGCATAAGATGGTGCAAATTGAGCAACAGCAGCATATTGTCCATCAACTGATGAATACAATTGAGTTGCTGGACTATTAGAACTGTTTGGATGGAAATAGGCACCATAAGATGAAACCGAAACAGGTGCTGATGATACCGATGGACCATCACAGTACTGTTGTTGACAACTGCGAAAATCTGTCATCATTGTGATTCGATTTCAAGTGGTTATAATACTGTTGATGAGAATATGTATATGTATGTATATATGTATATATATTCAATCTAACAATATGTATCAAATATAAAACAAAAGTCTATTACTGGATTTCGTAACGATGCATCTTCTTTTTCTTTCTCTCTCCACCACTCTATCTTCTCTTTTCTATAGTTTCCTTTTATCTGGTTGGTTGATTGAGACTGTGCTTGATGAAAGGATCGAATAGCAATTAAGAAATGTTTCTCTTCTTCTTCTCCTCTCTTTTCTCTTTTAGTATTGCTGATGATGTACAAGCAAACTGATAACAGAAAAAAAAGCGAAGAAAACGAGTAATAATAATGATAATACATAGACGTTGAAGAACGAATCATCAAGTCAAAAAAGAAAGGCATAGAACTAGTCGATAATTGTATGATCAATATTGTTTCTAATTTAAGATAATAAAAGATAGATTATCGCTTATAGAAATAGCAAAAACATTTTATTTTATATTTTAATCAAATAATGAGTTTATGAATATAGTTGGTCATGATCTACTAAAGTTATTTTTCTATATAACTTCTAATTAATTATTTCATACATGAAACAAAAAGATAGTTTACATCATTATCGTATAGATTCTAAAAGACTTGTGAAAGTATACTTCTTCTTTTTCTTCCATTAAATAAAACATTTGAGTTATAGAAAAAATGATATTTTCTACTTGAACAAAAATTTTTGAAATATTTATCCCAACTTGTCAATAATCAGAAATTCTAAAAATGCGATCTAGTAAGTTAGTAAATCAAACTGGTATGTTTCGATGGCATCTATAGAAGAAGTCGAAGAAGAAAAAAAATAGCTGATCGATCATGATGTCAGTGTAAGATAAAAACAGGTGTGTGTTTGTCGAAGAAATTACTATTAGTCATTATTGTCTGTAAAAACGATTACAGTGGAAAAGACATTTATCGATTGTCAAAAAAGATAATGGCACAATCAAACTCAAGAAAAGAACAATACAACAAAAATGATGATCATTCTCTGTAAAAGACAAGAAAAAAAATCAATTATATTCATGTCAGTAATGGATATATACATACATATAAGAAAAGAAATAAATGAATATCGACAATTATTCGATATGAAAAGAAAAATACCGTTTTTTTCTCTTTTTCTTTATTATTTTTAAAGAGAAGATTTCTAGATGAAACAAAACAAAATATTGAGAATGACAAAGGTAATTACTTCTCCTCGTTTTTTTTTTCTTTTTTCTTCATTTCTTTTACTTTTATCTCTATATGTGTTCGATGCAACTCCCTCGGCGGGGAAACATCGATGATGTTGGACTTCGTTAATTGATATGTTGGAGTTATATTCCACTGAGAATGATATGCATATATAAGATCGATACCGATGAGTAAAGAACAAAGCAAATTAGGCTGTGACTTTGGTCTCAATAACTATGGGTGGTAGATAAATGTAAATACGTATATATATGTATATAAAGAGAAGAATCGTCTTATTCTGAAATGTTAAATAAACATATACATATATGAAAGTATGTCCTTGCTAAAAGAAAATCGCCTTAGAGAATTGGGATTTATGAAAGATAATGAAAAGCATCGTTTATTAATATAGAATTACAAATAGTTGAAAATTTAGTAACAAAATATATAATATATATATATATATATACATATGAATTCAAAAGAAAAAGAGAATGATTGAAAAGCACATTGATAATTTGTTTGAAAATAGTTTTCACGGATTGATGACTTTTGTTTTTTTTTGAATGCTAATGATATATCGATCGCTGATCGATTCGGCATATTCTTTTAGCTCTGAAAAACTGATACACAGTTCGTGATGGTTAAAGAATTAAAAATGCACAGAATAAAAAAAGCAAGCTCATTAGTTCCGGTAATCAATTGATCGGCGTGTAAGGGAAAGCAACGAATAAAAAGAAGAAGAGCACCGACACGTTGATGCTTCTTCGATTTTTTTTAAATTGTATTTAATGTTTCCCCAGAGGGGAGGAATATTTGATCAAGTCATAAAAAGAAAAATTATATATTTTAGAATTTAAATATCTGTTAATGTTAAACGATTGATTTTAGTAATCAATTGAAAAGTCTGCTGAATTTTTCAATGGAAGGTATTTAAATATCATATAAAATGCAGAATTATATATACATCTATGTTCGTTTTTACACTGATTTTTTTTAATTCATAAAATTCACTCTATCAGCATGAGTTATCATACTCATTTAAATGAAGTCAGACAAAGTTATAGCTGTTTGATGAGAGGCTTTTTATAATGTATGAAAAATAATAATGATAATCTTGAGATTTTAATCAATTTAAATGAAAAAGTAAGTTTAATGTAGTCAATGTTGAAAATTTAATATATTTTTTTGGAAATTTTCGATCCTTCTTTCGATCATTATCAACCTTTTACCACAACCTTATAATTGATGTTAACAAACAAAAAGAAATTCTAAAAATATGTGAATACGAACATGAACATGAAACATGAACACAAAATTTAGAAAAACTATAGTCATAAACACATCATAATTATAATCATTTAAACTTGTACATGATAAACATAACCATGAATGTTATTAAATCCAATTCACAAATAATTATACTCAATTTGTTAATAGTACTTATGTATCAATAAGGGGTGGGTGTGGGTGATAAAAGGCTAATAATGATCGAAAGAAGGATCGAAAATTTCCAAAAAAATATATTAACTTTTCAACATTAACTACATTAAACTTACTTTTTCATTTAAAGAGAGGCTTTTATTATATCAAATCTTTTTCTTGATTCATTATGATTGAAGTACACGAATATTATAATTTAGCAACTGTACTTCACATATTGTTAAAAGTTAATTTTAGCAATTATGAATTCAATATTTTTCGTTTTTATTATCGAAGGGATCATTTATGTTTAGTGGCAATATATTAAAATATTATCTGAGTATCATGTATATTGTTATTTCAAGAAAAACGATAAGATAAATCTACTTAATTCAAATAGTATCAATTTTTACATTGAAAATCTCCTTGACAACAAAAAAATAAGATTTTTTGTAGTGAGATTATTTATATTCAATGCAGTTCTATTTGTCATGATTATTGAAACAAAATCAATCGAGATCAGCAGAATGCTAGATAAGATAAAAGTAGAAATCTTTCTTTTTTTTTGACATCAAACATAACGGAAAATGAATGTTATTTGCCTTTCCGCTAATATTCTTGAACAAATATTTGACTTTTTCCTGTAAAACTGCCTGTAGTTAAAACTAGACGTGTTCCTATTATATTACAATATCATTTTTCAATAAATAAATTCAATTGAATATGCATACAACATCAAACGTCATTTATTGTTAAAATTCGAATAGATAGAGACAACATTCATAAAAATTTAAACAATAAATATCGAATGACAAAACAACAACGATAAAAGAGTCTTCCAAGTTTAACTTCATTAAGAAATTCACAGCTCGTTTTCTTTTAAAATAATAAATTAATATCATATAATATAACGCTCTATCAATAATCCGAAAATACAACATTGAGATATTCTAAGAAACAAAAAAATAATAATAGTAAAGAAGATTACGGTACAACAATTATAAATGATATTTATATGTATATAAATTTTCTTTTTTTCGAATGAAGATCTTTTTCTTCTTAGATAAAACTTTTTTTTTTTAAAAATTATTTTGTTTGTTGATTTAATCAGCTAAAGGCACATGTTCAATTTCATTGTCAGGTGGTCGTTGATAACCAGGATTACTGACTAGATAAAGAACAATACCGGCAAAGATGAGAACAAAAACTCCAAAGAAACAAATTAAATGTCGTTGATAATCTACATCGTTATTGTTATATATTTTATAACTGAAATTAAAAGTATAAAATTACAAAAATTCATTATTAATATTACTTACAAAATACTATATTCTGTAATACCCATTAAAACAGCTCCAATAGCAAGAAGAAAGATAGCTTTACCCCAGAATTTATGACTTAAAAGAAAACAGAATATATTCATTGAAGAAAATCGATTAGTTTTTTTACCTTGGCATATACGCTTTACGAAGATCTTCACTTAATTTCGGAAATAAAAAGCTAACAAAACCACACACCCATTGTGCTGCAAATAAAATCACGGCTGTAAGACCAACCCATGAATGAAGTGAATAAAGATTTGCTTTTGGTGGATTAGCAAAATTATGATTATCAAAAACAGCTTTAAGGCCAATTGTTGAAAAAATAAATGAAAGTGCCAATAAAGATCCATGTAAAATTTTAACACGAAGTTTTTTTACATCACGAAATACTCGATAAGCCAAAATAGCTGAACAAAAATATATAAAATAAATTACCAATTAAATAAGTAAAAAAAAATATCCTACCATCTCCATAGAAAAAAACCATACCCAATGTCATAAATAATGGGTGATAATTAAATTCTTTATCAATGTCCGATAAAAGCAAAAAAAGAAATTTAAATAATATTTAAAAGAAAAAAATCAACTAACTGTCCATCCAAAACCACCACGATATTGACCAAAAAGAACAGCAAGAAGAATTATAGCAAGAACACCGACTACTTGTGAACTTAATACCATTATAGAAAACCATTGTAATGTTACTCGTGTTGAACCTATTTCATCAAAAGTTCCTTTACCCATTATTATAAACTTAGAGAAAAAAATAATCTACAATGGAAAAATTTAGATCCTTCCTTCTTTTTTTTTGATGTAAAAAGAAATCCTAATAATCTTATTGTACTACATCAAATGTCAATAAACCTTTTTTTCTGTTATCTTTCCTTTCAATGATGAGAACAGAAAAGAAAATGTTTTATGTCGTATTGACATATGTTCATGTTTATATTGGTAGGAAAAAGAAAATTGAATAAATGACAATTTACGAACTCGTGACGTCAATTAATTGATTGACTTTTTATGGAAATATGAGATCTATTATCATTATCAATACAAAAGCAAAATAATATTTTTACATTGAATAAATTAATTAAATAGCATGTAAAAAGAATATTTACTGTTAATTAGAAATTTATACATTGAAAGAAGTTGTTATCTAGTTTTATACTAACTATTGCCATCGGAAGTTTGTTTGTTAATAATGACTCTTTATAAAGTACTTTGATAAAATAATTAATCGAAATCAATAGTTCTAATATTAGTCGCAAAAAAAATCATGTCGATTAGAAAGCAATTATTATGTATTTGAAGAACCATATGAGAGTACTTACTCATTCTAAACATAGTTCGGACTCTAATTCAATATAGCAATAGTATATGGATTGTATTTAATGTAAACAATTACTAAATATAAGTCAATAAATAAGAAAAAATAATCATTCTCATCTAACCTATACAATTTTAGATGAAACAAACTGTTAGAAGATCTATAGTAACATATACGATCGGCTAATATATGTTTTCCGAAAAGCTCTGACGAAGGTAATAAGTTGTTTATTGTGCATTGTGATCAATTATCTCAGTTTTAACTGTAGAGTTTTATTTACAAAAAATCATTGGTTGAAAAAAGTAACCAATAAGATATAAATTCTATGTCGAAATAATTATAAATTATTTTTTTTCGAAGAGAATCCATAGTTGTCTTTCCTACATATAGTTTTATTATAGATTATATTGTTTGAAATAAACAATGCCACCTAAACAAGCACCAAGTAAAAAAACCGTAGAAAAAGCGAAAGCAAAAACTGTTGAAGTAATAACAAAAGAATTGCTTTCTTTGGAATATGTAAAAGAAAAGAATGTTTGTTTATCATTTTTAGGATAAAACATTTGGTTTAAAAAATAAAAAAGGTGCAAAAAATCAGAAATTTATTGCACAAGTACAAAATCAAGTACAAAATGCTGGAAAATCAGCTCGTGAAGTTTGTTATTTACATTGATATCATTATATTTTATTGGAAATAATCTGTTTATTTAGATTGCTAAACAGCAAGAAGAAAAAGAAAAACGAAAAGAAGAAAAATTAAAAGCTGATCTAGAATTACTAACTCTTTTTAAACCAGTTATTGCTCAACAAGTTATTCCTGCTGGTATAAATAAATTCTGTTTAATTCTATTTATTGACTTTTGTTTGTATTTTAGGAACCGATCCAAAATCAGTTCTATGTATGTACTTTAAACAAGGTTCATGTACGAAAGGTGCAAAATGTAAATTTTCGCATGATCTTGCTATTGAACGTAAAGCAGAAAAACGTAGTTTATATGACGATGGTGGGCGCGAAATTACAAGCAAAGAAAATGGTTTGATGAAAATAAAAAAATATTTTTTGTTATTTAATAAAATAATGTTTTTTTTCCGTAGATACAATGGCAAATTGGGATGATGCACAACTTGCTGAAGTTGTTGAAAAAAGACATGGAGAAGATAATAGAAAGAAAAATGCTACACAAATTGTATGTTTTCATCATTATGAACTATATTTTTATTATTAAATGAGTTGTTGAAAGTCATAGTTAATAACAACTTTTAGAATACTATTTTTCCGAGTGTTTATTTTATGAATTTAATTAAAATGAAAGAAAGTTTAAGTGAGCATATGTTACGGGTTATAGATAAGGAATGATTAGCTGAATTCTTGACATTTATGGATTTTATTCTAGTTTAGTTATAATTAAACAGATGTTAACAAATTTTTTTAATGATGAAATGGTTTAGAGAAATTTTCATCTAAATGAGTAATATTAGTGAGTAACGAGTTTTCTACCAAACAAGACTTTGATGAACTATAGAAAAACGTATTTAGTTTCTAGTGGATAACACTAGCAAGATGTATTATTGAATATGTTATAAGATGACTTTAAGAAATCTAATTGAATTATTCTTGTAGGTGTGCAAATATTTTCTTGAAGCTGTTGAGAATAACACATATGGATGGTTTTGGGCTTGTCGTAAGTTATTCTTCTCGATTCAATTGAATATTATTAGAAATATTTTTTTTCTCTCATTTTTTATTAGAAAACGGTCTAGCTTGTCAATATAAACATGCTCTACCGGCTGGTAAATCATAAATTATATAGTTTGATGTGATTTTAATCTATAATGTAATTATAGGTTTTATGTTGAAACGTGATAAAAAATTATTAGATGATCAAAAAGAAACAATTTCACTTGAAGATTTAATTGAAGGTGAACGAGCTGCATTGGGTGCAAATGTCACGAAAGTCACACTTGAATCTTTTATTGCATGGAAAAAACGAAAAATTGAAGAAAGAAAACAACAATTAATTAAAGATGAAGAAAAAAAACGAAATGATTTCGTTAAACATGGTCGTTTAGTTGGTTTATCTGGTCGTGAAATGTTTACATTTAATCCTGAGTTAATTGCAAATGATGATGAAGATGCTGATAATGATATTGATTATCGACATCGATCCGATGATGAAGAAAGTGAAAATGAAAATGAAAACGAAGATGAGAATACAACTGAACAAGTAACATAGTTGAATATTAAAGAAAAATATACAAAAAAAAATATTTATTTTTCAGGCATCAGCAATCCGAAAACCTGCTATACGTGATTGGAATGATATTGATCTCTTAGCACAAGAAGCACGTGAAGCAGATAATACAGGTACAGTCGCAGGTGAAGATCGATTTGCAAATTATCGTAAAACTGAACGTGAAAAACAAGAAAGACGACAAGCAGCAGCTGCACAAGGTTTGATAAAAAATGAATTCAATTTTTTTAGAATATTATATTTGATTTGTTTTAAGCTGCTCTTGCTGAAGAAGCCAATAAACTCGGTCAAGCAAGTGGTGGTGGTGGTGCTGATAATGCATCAGTATCGAATTATGATGATACAACATCAACAGTGAATAATGATGAAGAAGAAGAAGATGAAGCAGTACAAATCGATGAAGATCTATTTGCTGACGATCTTGAAGATATTGAAGAGCAATTACGTGAAACAAATTTGACATAATAAAACAAATTCATATAAATGTTATTGCTCATATCTATCTTTTGCCTTCAGTCTTTTACGCACTGATTGTGTGTGGTTATTTATATTTTTTTGTCATTGTTCCATCCTGTTTGTTTTTTCGAAGACTGATGTGCTCAGGATTTATTGGATTCTAATAAACCCAAAACAACAAAAATAAATTTCAAATTTTATTTTTGATTAAAATGTTTTTTTTTTCTAATTATTTTTTAGTATAAAATCTAACAAATGCGTGTTTGTCGGTGTTCATTTCGGAGATTTTTTTCATGTTCAAAATTACATGATATACCCGCCTGTCGTCGATTATCTTTAATTTATCAAATATTTTATTATAATTCTGATGATTCAGTTGATCTTCGTATTGATACAATATTACAACCATTATTTTTCTTAACTGATCGATTAGCAAAATATTTAGGAAAATTATTTATATGTTTTTTTCTTATAATTATGTCAGTTGTTATCTATATATTCTATACATCAATATTTGTTCATTTATTTAATGAGATACATATGCAACATAATTATTTGACTTTTCTTGGTCATATTATTGTTTCACATTGGCTTTTAATAAATATTATGTTTAATTATATACAATGTACAAGAGTTGACCCAGGTTCATCACCAAATTTTGGTCGTAAACAACCTTATGATTTTGATAAAGCAAATAGAGATTTAATGAAAATTCATCAGGCTCATATTGATAAAAATAATAATACTAAATCAAAAGAAGTAACAATATTGAATCTAACAAATGATGGTAAATAGTTTTTTCTTAATTTAAATCATATTGTTAATTAAAACTAAAGAAAACACGAATGATATGACCATTAGAGTTGATAAATTTATTGGTTTCATTCGAAAAAGCTAGTGATAAGATAAAATATATTAGTCTCATTGAAGTTCTTAGAAGGTAACTTTAGTACTACCTTCTTGAACAGAAATCTAAACTAAAAAAGACAAAAACTCATCGTACATTTCCATGAGAGGAAAAAACATGACCTGTGACATGTCACGCTCATAAATGAAAAACTTTTCTTCCTAATAGGTGACTATATTTCTGTGAAAAATAATTTAAATCAATAACGGTTTTGGCATAGTTGCGATGAATATTAAATCTCATTGAAACTAACGAGGGAACTTTGTCAACTGATACACTCCGTTTGAACTCATATTAGACCCACAAGCAGGTCTTAGTGAGACTAGAAAAAAACTAAAAGAGTTTCTGCCCACAGGTCTTTGGAGCCGAGTTATAGCCTTTTTATTGGATTTTTTCACCATTTTTTTGATATCGAGCAAAAAATCAAAATCAACAAAGGAATAGTTTTTTCAGTTGAAATTTTCAGGATAATCTAAAGATGATTAGACCTGTCTATGGACAAGAGTTCAGCTCAAAACTCTGTTATTTAATTTTTTGCTCGATATCGAAAAAATGGTCAAAAATTCAGTAAAAAGACTATAACTCAGCTCCAAGGGCAGAAATCCTTTTAGGTTCTCTCTAGTCTCACCAAGATCTGCTTGTGGGCCTGATTTGAGCTCAAACGGAGTGTATCAGTTGGTGAGGTTCCTTTGTAAGTCTAAGTTGCTCAATATTGATGTAAATCTGATCGATGATGAATTAATCCGAAACTATTGATTATAATATTATTCTTTTCTTAGATTCTGATTATACTCAATTATCAGATAAAACTCCACTTAATGCTTCCAATTCAATATTAAATACAAAAATAAATTCTCAAAATATTTGTCGAAAATGTATATTTCCAAAACCTACACGTGCTCATCATTGTTCTATATGTGCAAAATGTATATTAAATCAAGATCATCATTGTCCATGGATAAATAATTGTGTTGGACATTTAAATCATCGTTATTTTTTTCAATTTTGTTTTTTTTTAACAATTGGTGCATTTTACGCAGCAACATTAGGTTTTAGTGAATTTCAACATTTTTTATTTGGTAGAAAAGCTTTTTCTTATCTCGATCTATTATTTGGTAGAGGTGTAAATGAAGTGGAAATCTTACCTACTGTTACAAATCCATCAATGTATTTTACATTTTTATTTTTATTTATTGTTGCTGTAACAGCAGGTGTAGTTTTGTTTGGTTTTACTCTTTGGCATTTTTGGTTAGTATCAAATGCTGAAACAACAATTGATTTTCATACAAACTCAACAGAAAGAAAACGTTTAAAACAACTTAAACAAACATTTATTAATCCATATGATTTAGGTTTTACATTAAATTGGAAAATGTTTTTGGGTTTAAATAAATGGTATGAAATTTTATATAAAAATTTTTTACCATCAACTCATAGACCATTTTGTGATGGAATTAATTGGCCAATAAGAAAAATAACAAAACCATTTGAAGAACAGAAAAAATTAGTAATGATGAACGTTTAAAAAAAAAGACTTGTTTTTCTGTGATTGTATTCGATGAACAAAAAAAATAAAACATGTACATAGAACAAATTAAAAATGTTTTTTTCTTTGTAATTTTTAATTTTAATTTCTATATTTTAATTCATTAAAGTTTTATGTTGCAAAATATAAAATTCAGTTATCATGAAGCAATAAAAATGACATACTATGAATTATTCTATTTTCGTGCATTTATTTAATTAAGTACTTTCTCAAACAATGTTGTTAATAGATATTTCTTGGATATTATTCAACGTTCAAAGAATATTCAGGAGAAAGTAACAAACCAATAAATGCTATAGTAAGATGTCAGATAAGACAAGGAAAGGTGATCGATGAATAAATGTGGACAAACGTATTAAACAAAATAATGCAGGACAATGAGTATATCAAAGAAATAAATAAAGAATGAAATGTAATATCTAATATAAACAAGAGCAACAATGATAATAATACATAGAATGAAGAATACATCAAAAGATAATGGATATAGAGAAGATCAAATATGAGTATGCATTTTTAGAATAACAAGATATACAGAGAGAGAGAGAATAAAAGAATGGTTCATAGCTAGATCAAAATTAGAATTCCAATATAGACTAATAGTTTTTTTTGAGCAGAATTAGAATTCAGATGAAGATAAACAAAAGTGTGGGTGTGGGTATAGGTCAAGAGGATATAGACATTCATACCCAAACCCACATCCACACCACCCCAACATATATTTTGATTTTATAGCAAGTGATCATTTATCAAATAATATAATTCTCATGTAGAAATGAGATTCTTTATATTGTATGAAAAAATAAAAAATAAAAAAGAATATTTTCTCTACTGGATTTTATTTTTGAATACTTAAAAAACCGTGTTTGTTTGTATCAAAGCGAAAAAAGAAAAAAAAGAGAGGAGCAGATTACATCTTCTAAGCTCACAATAATAACAACAAACAAATACAGTTACTACTATAAACTCTTTAAACACGACTGATGATGAATTCGTGCACGCGCAAAAAAAAACTGATAGAAAAAAAAACATCACTATATATTAATCAGTCAAACTACTAAAACAAACGCTAAAGAAAAAAAACTACTGAAAAAGATTCTCTGAAATATCTGACGTTGGAGAAAAAAAGACAAAGACAATCACTATCATTCATGTTATTTATTGTTTGTACTGTTCACAATACAAACAAAACAACAGAAGAGAAAGAGAAGAAGAAAAAAAACATGATTCATAATACTTATGATGCGATAACGACATCCGAAAAAAAAACATAGAGAAAAAAAATTCACTGATATAGAGAAAGAAAAAAGATACTTAGTTTTTAGCATTCGGAACTGAATTGCTGCAAAGTATTATAAAAAACAAAAACATCTGCTTGCAAAAAAGACCGAGATTATCTGACAACTATAGAAAACAATAAAACAAAACAATTCATTTTATTATTCAATAAAAATTCTACCTGCTTATAAATTATTACCAGGCCAACCACCAGTCAATGCAGGCCAAAGGGATGCAGGACTACCAGCTGGGGAATTACTACCAATTGGACCAAAAATTGCAGGCATTGATGCTGTTATATTATCATCAAGACCAAATGTTTGCATGCATTGTGTACGAATCATTTTTTCATACGGAGTAGCAACATGTCTATTATTATCATCACCAGCTGCTTGACAATATTTAATTGTATGAGCTATTGAAATATATATATTTAAAAGAATATATATTTTGTCTTAAAATAATTAACAATGAAAATACCTTGAGCACCTGTTGCACCACATATAGGACATTGATAAGCACGTAAAATTGGACAAGTTACATTACCAACTGAATCTTTTAAAGAATGACTTGTATAAATAAGTTCATTTTCACCATTATTACGACAAAAAACACAAACCTTTAATAATAAAATTAAATAATATTTATTAAGATGAAGAAAAAAGAAATTAATTATGCTATTTTATATTACTTCTTTTTTCATGCCACATCGACGTTTCCATCTTGCTTCTCGAATCAAATGTTTAATTATTTCAATGTCAATTTTTTCTGAACGTAATGGACGATTATTATTATTTGAATTAGCTGCTAGAATTTGTTGTGCTGCTGAACTTAAAGTTATAGTTGGATTAAAAGCTGCCATTTGTTGTTGTTGTTGTTGTTGATTTTGACGTAACATTGCGGTCATTTCTGCTAAAAGCCAAGCATCATTTGCTTGAAATTGTTGCTGTTGTTGTTGTTGTTGTTGCTGCTGTTGCATTGGTTGAAGATGAGGCATTGGTGGCATACCTATAGGGAGTAATGGACGATGTTGTTGTTGTTGTTGCTGTTGAGATTGTTGTTGTGCTGAAGATGAAAGGGGTGGTGGTGGTGGGTGTGGCGGTTGTTGTTGCCATAATGGACGTTGTGCTTGTTGAGGTATTGGTAATAATTGTTGAGTTTGATGTGTAGCAGGTGATTGTGGATGAAATGACGGTGAAGAATGACTAAATGGACCATTAGTTGGTGTTAGATTTGAATTAGGTTGAAAAAGAGAATTTGTTGTATTTATACGTTGTGGAAATGGTGAACTCGCTAAATGAGGTGGTGGTTGAAGTGGTGAAGATTGTTGAAGAGGTTTAAAATTAAGTTGTGGTGTAGAAGGTGCATATGAATTACTATGAATACGTGGTCGAGATAAAGATGAAAATGATATAGTATCATCGTTTGTTGTACCATTTGAAGTAATTAATGTTGACCATGATGTTGTTGATGGTGTACAAGATGTATTAATATGTGATGGTAATCCATCGCCAAGATGATCCATATATGAATATAAATTACTTGTTTCTATATGAAAAGAATAATAGTATTTATTAATTATTCAACAAGAAACTTTTATTTATGATACAAACCATTGTTATTATCGGAATGTTGAATTGAAGTTGATTGATGTCTGCTTGTAGTTGTTGTATTAAGAGATGGCATAGCAAGTGGATGATCAAGTGCTATAAATAAATAAATAAAGTAAAAAAATTTATATAATAAATAGTCGGTTTTTATAAAAATGATTTACTTGATGATGATGTAAATACTGAATCAGATAAACGACGTTGACTAGTAAGATATCGATCAATGCTTGTTGGTGCTAATAAATTAGCTGTTGTTGTTTTAGGTGTAGTATCAATAGTACGTGAAAATAAGGAATTATTATTTCGAATTTCATTTGCTGCCGTTCCCATAGACCAATTTGTATTATTAAGATCTGCACTTCTTGGTGGTGTCAAGGGTAAATTAGTATTAATTGTCATAATTTGAAAAGCATTTGTTGTATTATTTATAGGATCAAGTAAACGACGTGGAATTAGTGGTGTTGGTGGCGGTGTTCCTTCAACAGAAGCCATTTTAAATGGTGGTGGCTTAAATGCACCTTTGATATGACAAAAATTCTCTTTTTATTTTACATAAAGAATATATTTTTGTCGCTTACCCAAACCCATTCCGCTAATTTCATCGATAGATGACGATGAAAGTGTCGCATTACTAGTTGGTACAGTTGATGAACTATTTTCCTCTTGTTCTACATTATTTTCTTCTGGATAGAACAAATCATCATCTTGTTCTATATCTTCATCAATAGTACTTGATAATGGTGAATATTGATCAATTAAATCAGATTCTTCATTTATTGAATAACCACGACCGAGAATTGATTCCATTTTTATTGTTTTATTATATTTTATTTTATTCAAATTGTTGTAGATTGTGATTAAACGAATGAATATAATATCAAAGATAAAGAATATTTCGATTACAAACACACACACACACTCTGTTTCTTTCTAAAATACACAGTGAATTCACATATTTTTCGCGAGGGATTAACTTAAAACAAAGACATCTATTTCTATTAGTTCTTCTCTCATTTGGTCATGTGACAAGATTTAGTTAGAAGAACGAATAAAGAGATGAAAACTTTTCTTTCCTCGCTTTACTAGACGAATATATTCGAGACGAAATGGCGAGAAAAAACAAAATTCATAGAATGTACCTCGAATGAAATATATACATATGTGTTTATATATGTATAGATATATAGATATAGATATATATTATACAAGAAAGAGAAAAAGTAAGATTATAATATGTAAACCAATGATGGAACTTTCATACCCTGGATACACGAACATGAAATAGAATTTTTTGAAAAATGAAAAATATAGATATGATACAGAATGAAGAACTATTTGAGATATTTATTTTTGAACATATGATTGTTGTGTTCTTTGGTCTAGTCAAATTCAACTGACATAGTAAATATTACGCGATAAATATGATGAAATGTACATTTAAATACAAAGGATGTCTACAAAATTGTGTCATATAAAATAATTATATAAACAAACATTGAAAAAAATTATTTTTAAGAATACTAATTATGATAATTAGTTAAACTATTTTATTTTATTTTATTAAGTTTATATACAAGGGAATATTTATTCATGATGTATAAGCTGTAGATAAAAGTTTTTAATCTGATATAAGAAATCGATGAATTAATTACTTGAACAGTATTGAATATTTACAATATAATCAAATTTTATAACTAAATAAGATGAATTTTTATCACAGATTTTGACATTATAATTAATAATTATATCTCTGTGTTATTTGAAAGATAGAGACACTTCGAATATCAGAAAAAGAAATCCATGATGCTGTATTATTGGTAATAGCTCAACATGAAAATTTCTATCAGTAATCTTGTTCAATTCAATATTATCATATGTTGAGTTGTTTGATTATTGAGAACTGTCATAATATGAACATATTTCGATACTCTTTGTTTATCATTGAGAATACAATCAATCAATTGATGCTTTAGCACTTTTCTTTTTTTATTATCATTGTGATTAAAAGAATAACATATTAATATTAATTAAGGTATATGATAATAGTGTTGAAGTAAAAATGTCCGGATAATGATATAGAAACATGATTAATCAAATTTGATTTATATGGTTTTTGGAAATAAAAAGTCAATGAAAAAGAAAACCTTCTAGGAATAAATCGAGATGAAGTATATAAATATCTCTAAAAGTATCTATTATAAGTGAATTAATCATTCATCTCGCTCACATAATTAGATATATTTTTCTCTCGAATCAATTTGTTTCTGATATTGTTCATAATTTGTATTTGAATCATTCTATTATAACTATTGATATATTTATTAAAGTTAATTAAGTTTATATCTAAAGTGTAATTAATATTTGATCACTGTTTGAAATGTTTCAGAGTATTCATTATATGAATATTTTTCTATAATCTTTCCATATGTGTAGGAGAAGTAAGTAAAAGTAATCTTTTCTGATAGACAAGATGTGAACTTTGCTAAAGTGCTAATCGACATAGACATGCTCTTTTCCATCGGACAAGTTTATTTTCCTAACAACTTTGTATATACAAAAAACTTTCTTTTTCTTTTCTACTAATAATTTAATAATCTTCCATTTGTATACATGTATGTTATTTCTTTCAAAAACCTTTTCTTTCTCTCTGTCTCTCTTTCTCTCTTTCGCTTCATCTGTTATATGTAAATGATACTGTCTTGCTAGAACTAATTATCTCATTTGTTTGTTTTATTAGTGGAAAAAAAGGAAAGCTGAAAGCTCACGATTTTTCTATATATATTTCGAAGAGTTTTTGAAATAATCATTGAAAATTTCTTCTCTTCTTCTCAATACTATCTAATTGAAACAGCTCATCTAGCAGATTTGTATTCATTTATATTGAACAGACAAGAACAACAAAAACAACAACATCAACAACAACAGGAATAAGTTCATCATTGAACAAACTATGTAAATGACGAACGATATAGATAAGAGATATCATCTTGGCATTTCTTAATTTTATGCAGCATCAACTTTTTATTTGCTTGTTGTTTTGAGAAACAAAAAAGGAAGAGTTTGTTATTTCTTCTAACTAACTGATCTGTGCCGCGTCAAAGTAGAAAGATTCTTCTTCTTCTTTTTCTTTTTTTTGTTGTATCCATTTGGGAATTGTTCAAAAACATAGCAGTTTATCTTTTTTCTTGAATTTTGATTCATTCGAAAATAAAGTAAAGATAATAAACTATTTTGCCATCATTATCCAATCAATAGAAGAAAAATAGGTGGAGATTTCAACTGACTAGTTTTTAGCATGTATGGATATTTGTGTTGATCGATGAAGACAAATCATCTAGATGCCTGCCTTTAAGGAAGGACGAGATAGGATGGAAGGCTTCATTTCTTTGTATAATAAACGAGCCGTTGACATACGTGCGTGCGCACAAGTTATCAACGACAATCATTCTAATTGCCCTTTGCTCGTGCAAAATCTGGTGGAAGCAAAAAAAAATAGAGAAAAATTATTTGGTTGTATCTTTTTCTTTTAAGTTATATATTATAAAGATGCGTCGTATAAGATAAAAATTTTGTATTTTATTTTTTTGTCATCTGTTATTTATACTCACTTCATTTTCTCACATACATAAAAAAAAATAAAGATGAGAAAAAATTTTCTTGTTCACATACTGGATCAAACGAAGAGAACATATATGGATAGAGTATCTTTCTTATACATATGGACCAATCGGCAAATTTACGCACTTCGACCATGTATCTATCTGGCAACCAGCCGAAGGGAAAAGAAAATCGACGAGCGAGAAAGAGAGAGAGCGAAGAAGAAGAAGAAGAAAAGGCAAGAATTAGAGTAGTACCATTAATCTTCTTCTTTGCCGACAACGACACAGTACATTCTACTTCTTTATTCGAATGGTATTGCCTCTCTTTTCCTCTCTCTTTTTCTCTCTCAACTACGGCAGTGGCTTACATTCGGTTCTGCAGATAACTGATTAATAAAATTAGAGCCGTGTGCACACAGATTACATTGTCGGTCGAAAATTCGGTTAGAGGAAAAAAGGGTTCAAATATATTGAATTAGCACCTTGCCTTCAATTAACAATTAGTCCCAATTCACAGCCATCAATTCACTATGATGCATCATCCTCATTCAGGTAAAGACTTGTTTTTTTTTCTATTCCTTCTTCATCTTGTTTTTATTTATCAAAAACAAAGAAAGAAAAAAGTTAAATTGATTATCTTTCATTGAAAATGAATTATATCATTAACTATATATCACATTGCGAACGTTTTACCATGTATACATACATATCAGAGAAGATTGATTTCTTCATTTCTTTTTTTGCTGGTTGATATGGCTTCTTTCAATATGATTGAGTTGTTATTGCTCAGCAGGTATATCAAGCGTATGTGCATGCCTCCACGCCTATTGCAAAAGAATAAGAGATAAGCAGACAGATCGAACGTGATTATTGCTACTGATTTCATTTCCGTTCATTCCTTCGGGAAAAAAATTACGTACGAATTTCGAGAGCTTTCAAAGATAAGACTAGTTGAAGAATTGAAATAAAAAAAAGTAATAACAAAGCAACTATTGTTGTCTTTAGAATCGCCATGTATGGATTCAAGTAAAAAGTTATGTATGCAACATAATAGTGCCAATAGTGGTTCATCATCAGATGAAGGTGATACAACAAATGATTCAAATGGAAATGATACAAAACGAAAAAAACGACGAAATCGTACAACATTTACATCATTTCAACTTGAAGAAATGGAACGTGTTTTTCAAAAAACTCATTATCCAGATGTTTATGTTCGTGAACAACTTGCTCTTCGATGTGATCTGACAGAAGCACGTGTACAGGTATATCGAACTAATAAAAAAAAATATATATAGCTTTAACAAACACATCTGGTATTGATTCAGATTTTTCTTTCTTCTCTCTTCGCGCATCATGGCCAATCAAAAAAAGAAAAAAACAAAAGAAATCTCTTTCGCTTTTATTCTCTTTCCATTTGCAGTCAGTATCTTAGAACAAAAATAACTGAATACGAATGTCAAAGGTCTATTAGAAATGAAGAGAGAGAGATGAAGATAAGTTTATTTAGTAGAATAAAAGAATTATTATATCAAATCTAAAATAACAATATGTGTTCGTATAGATCGGATAATGAGTCTGCTGATAGATAATGATAAAGAACCAATCAGAAAACAATAGATAGATTACAAGAATTCTACACATAATACATTTTTTTGCTACTTCAAAGAAATACTGACAACAGACGAATGTCATTTATAGTTATGTTGTTTTATATAAAATTAAATTGTATATCATTGTTTTAGTTTAATGAAGTAGAGAAGAAGAAGAAGAAGAAGAAGAGATATGATAAAAATACATGTAGGAATGGAAGGATTTACTATTATTTTTATAGGTATGGTTTCAAAATCGACGTGCTAAATGGCGTAAACGTGAAAGATATACAAATGCACCTCAAATACGTTCACTAACTGTACCAACATCAAATCCCTATGATATGTCATTAATTTCAGCTGCAAGTAGTCAATATCCATCGGTATTTATTTCTTAAGAAATATTTTTTTTTAATAAATTATTCTTTCAGTTAGCGACCAGTAATGGTTGGTGTTCATCATCAACTTCATCATTAGGTCATATTCCTATGCGAGATCATCATCATCAACAGCAACAACAATCTCAACAACAAACAAGCTCATCATGTCAAAATCTTTCATCGTCTCCGTCCATGATGATGTCAAGTGCAATACCAAATTTTATGGGTATGCCTTATGCATTTCCACCACCTCCACCACAACAAACATCTCATCAAACAAATAATTTCAATCCATGTCCATATACTGGATATAATCTTAATCCTGATCATCGAAGCACATCAATTGCTGCATTACGTCTTAAAGCTCGTGAACATAGTGTAGCACTTGGTGGCATGTAAATATCGATACATTTTTTTTTCTTTTGCTTTGTTGCGTCGTTGTATGTCAGTGGAACAGTGGTGGATTGTCTCTGTGTGTTTGTGTGTGTATTTGTCTGTATGCGTGTGTGTGTGTGTATTTAAAGAAAAAAAAGCGAGAAAAAAAATCAACAGATGTTATAAGTTTTGCTTATCTATCGGCTACCTGAAAGAAAGAAAAAGAAAGAGTTAAAGAAAGAATATTTCTTTTCTCTTGGGCTCTAATGTCTTCGTCAAGTGTTCAATTCAACTGACAATTATCTCGAAACAAGTAAAATTAGTTGATGAAGGTGATGATCGATGATAAACTAAATCTCTTTTATTCTATAAAGGAAAGTAAAAGAATATCAGACAAGTTCAAAGACATTGTTCATCTTTATTATTTATTTGATTGTATACTTTGGACAAATGAGAAATTGAAGTCAATCATCAATAATAATGATGATAGTTAATTGTTCACTGATAGGATCATCATCATCAACATCAACAACATCTATTCCCACTAGACAAACATGTCCACATCTCAGTCGTGTGGTGTACGCATGCGTACATATATATATATATATATTGAGATATGTTCTGCAATAGAACAGCATTGTTCACACGTTTATTTCTTGAAAGAAAACAAAACACATGAACGAACATAGAAGTAACAAGCAGACATGCTGAGCATGCCGTCGTTTGTCTGATGATATTTGAAGGTTGATACGCTCAATAAGATGTATACATATATATATCAAAATGATGAACAAGACAAGACACTTGGAGCGTAGCGGGTGGCTTATCAAATTCATGAGGCTACTTATAATACATATTCTGGACCGATCTCTCAAGGAAAACTTATTTTATAATTGATATAATTACATTATTTATAAAGTATCATTAAATAATATGAAAGACAAAAACGATATGAGATTAACAAAGGTATTTGAATGAAAAAAAATACGAAAAGAACGTAGAGATGATTTTTTTAATATCATATCACCTTAGACATTATAAAATACCAAGTATCTAGTACTTGATTGCCTTTAGTGACACAAACGTGCTTATGCATATTTATCGATTCTTATTGTCGTCTGTTAGTTAAAAAACATGTAAAAATATAAATATCATTGTTATACTAAATAGTATAAATTAAAATATGCACATACTCATCCTTTTTTTTGGTGTTCTTAAGCTGACCTTAAACAAAATATATCCCCTCGGATTTCTAGAACAAAATTATAGTAAAGATTTCAATTGAAGGTATATAGTAAGATGAAAATAGATACATATATCATTTCTTGTATTTAAGATGACTGATGTAACAACTGAGTTTTCTCCAATTATTACAAGTATTTTATCATCAACAATAAGTTTACTTTCTACAAATTCGTCTGTAAATGCAACAATAGTTGCTGCGAGTGTTAGTAGTTCAGTACCTATTTGGGCTGGTTTTATTGGATGTTTAGTAGCATCGATATTTTTTGGTTCAAATCTTGTACCTGTAAAACAATTTTCTGCAGGTGATGGAGTTTTTTTTCAATTTGTTTTCTGTGTTGCTGTTTATCTTGTTGGTCTCATTCTTGATCTGATTCTAAATAATCAACGTTGGTATCCACTTGTACTTATTGGAGGTATTAAAAAAACAATATTTTCAAATCTATCTCTATATCTAATTATATTCATATATTCTTAGGTGTTTTATGGACAACAGGAAATCTTGTAACAGTATTTTGTATAAAAACAATTGGTATGTCTGTTGGTATACTTATTTGGGGAACAACAAGTTTAATAATGGGTTGGGCTAGTGGTCGTTTTGGTCTATTTGATGTTAATCCTCAAGTACCACGTACAACAACAAAATTAATTTTAAATTATGCATCGGTTATATTAGCTGCTATTAGTGCTATATTTTTTCTTTTTATTAAATCAACAAATGCACCACGTGTTATAGCTCATGTTGATGTTACAAATCCTGAACAAGTATCATCAATTGAAATAGTTAAAACAGAAAATGTAATTATGGAAACTGAAAAAATACTTGATACAGATTTTCCATTTTTGAATCGAATGAGTCCTGCATTACAAAAACTATTAGGTTATTTTTTAGCTGCTTTAGCGGGAATATTTTATGGTCTCATGTTTATTCCTGATCAGTATATTCGTGATCATCCAGAAAAATTTAAATATAACGAAGAATTACCACCGAATAATGGTCTTTATTATATTAATTCACAATATGCTGGTCTTCTGATGTCATCCGCAGTCTATTTTATGCTTTATTGTGGATTGAAACGTAATAGTCCAGGAATTAATCCAGCTGTTGCTCTACCAGCTATGATTAGTGGATTCATGTGGGCTGTAGCAAATATTGGATTTATTGTTGCTATTAGTGCATTAAAAAGTGCTGTAGCTTATCCAATTGTAAGTGTTTTACCAGGTATTGTATCAAGTCTATGGTCATTATTTTGGTTTAAAGAAATTCAAGGAAAAAGAAATTATATATTACTTGGTTGTGGTATGCTTGTACGTTGTCTTGCTGCTCTTTTCAGTGGTCTTTCAGCTTAATTAAATATGTATAAATTTTTGCCTATGACATATAAAATATCACTTTTTTTTGTATTTATTTTTTTTCAGTATTAGACAATAAAAAGAAAAAAATATATAACGCTAAATATCATGATAGTTTACTGATAGAAATCACTAGTTTTTAATTTGTTTTAAAATCTGGATTAAACTAGATTGTTGAATCAATCAAGACGAAGTTGTTGTTGTTTCATTCGTATTTTCTTTATTCGTTTTTGTTTCATCATTTGACTACAAGAAAATAAACATAATATTAAAAAATAAAAATAAATAAATTACTTTTTCACTGGTTTGAGCCATTTTAGCAAATATTTTAGTATACAATTGTTTTTCTTGTTGTTGATAAGCTTTTAAATGTTCACGACATGTTTGAATATGTTGATTTGCTGCACTATTTGATGGATTTAATTTGAGAACTTGTTGAAAATCTTTTATAGCTTCATCATATCGTTGCATAGCTATTTGACTTTGTCCACGACGAAAAAGACATTTTTCATTTTTAGAATCTAATTCAAGTGCTGCATCACATGCACGAATACATTCAGCATGTTCATTTAATTTTAAATGACATAATGCCATATTTGAATTTGTAGTTAATTTTAATTCATGAGCTTTAGCTTTATCTTTTTCATTTTCATAATTGGTTGATTTAAGATACTCAGTAATAGTTTTATATTTTTTACAAGCAATATAGTAATGACCATCCTAATAAATGAAATATTTCCTTTAGAGAAATAATAATTATTATAATTACTTTAAATAATTCACCAGCACGTTTTTTTAATTTTTCTGATTCTTCAAGTTTATCTGTTTCACTCATTGAATATTTATCTACTCCCTATAAGTATAAAAACAAATTAACTTTTTTCTTTCTTATTTCGATTGTCAAAACAAACTTTTTCAAAATCATTTAATGTAACCATATATTCTACATGTGCATTTTTTGGAATATTAAATTTTTCAAGACCAAATGTAGCTTTTGATTTTAATTTCAATTGACTATGTTCACCTTTTGTCATTCGTGTTACAGCATGTTCAAGGCTAAAATATAGATTATATTATTTAATAAAATAAATAACATACAAACCCTTCTGGAATATTTTGTAAGAAACCTTCACCAATAATAAATTTTACTGTTCGTTCATCGAATACTTTATTATCATAGATGCCTTTGAGAGTAATATCTACTTTACTACCATCACTTGGTTTAGCCCATCCTTCTCCTCGTTTAAAAATTCGTCGTACAACACTTTGATCTTTTTTTTCACTAATATCATCACCTAAATTATATAAAAATAAAATTTGTTTTTTCTTCTTTCAAATTTTTACCAATAAAATCAAAAAGTTCAACTTCAAAAATTAATGTTGCATTCGGTCCTATTTTATCTCCTGAACCACTTTCACCATATGCATATTCAGGTTTGCATGTTAAACGACATATTTCTCCACGTTTCATTGTTGCTACACCAATATCCCATGCTTTAATAACAGCACCTTTACCAATTTCAAATTCAAATTTTTGATTTCTATCTCGACTACTATCAAATTTAGTTCCATCCAATAAAGTACCAACATAGTGTACAAATACTTTATCATTTGGTAATGGTTTTTCATCACCATGACCTTCTTTAATTATTTCTTTGATAATACCTTCGAAAAAAAACGAATTTTATTTGACTCGATAATCAAATAAACAAACCTCCATCTTTTGATGGTGAGATATCTTCGCCTTTGATTTCACTGTCAGATGCCATTATATTATGTGTTGGTAAACTATTTCAAAAGAAAAATGAAAGGAAATTTTTTATATGTAGACTCCTAGAATATTCCATTAGATGTCGTTAGTATAGGAAATTTAATACATTTTATTTTTGATATTTTCTTTTGATTTTTTAAAAAATCTGTTTTTTATATATGAAATTTAAAAATATAATTTTTTTCTAATTTAAAAAATTGAAATAAAAACAATATTACGTCGTTGTCAAAGAAGTGAATCCATCTATGGTATCATTCTTGTTTAGTCATATCAGTTTGGTTCTTATTTTAAAAGAATATTAAACAGTGAAATGGCAACTCAATATTTTGAGCATAGACTTGAAACTGGAAATTTTTCCGAACAACCTCATTTTCAATTGATGGAATGGCATCCATCATTGAATATTCTTGCTGTAGCTTCGATTAATGTTGGAACAAATATATTCTTCTATGGTGAAGATGTAAGTTTAGTTTCTATTTATTCATTAATATAATTTACTTTATTTACAAAATAAGGGTGAACATGATGAAGCAGCTCGTGTACAACATACGAGTAATGCGTATTGTATTGCTTGGCATCCAGTTAAAAAAACATTAGCTATTGGTTTTTCAGGTATGAAACAAAAGTTTTTCTGTTAAAGAATTTTAATTTGTGTGTGTGTGTTAGATGGTGAATTAATGATATGGAATGGATCAAATCGTCGATTAGAAAGTGTTATTGTGCATAAGGCTTGTATCTCATCGTTAGTATTTAATACTGATGGAACACAATTTTTATCAGCTGATCAAGTAATTTAGAAATAATATTCTTTTCTCTATTTGAATTTTCATAATCAAATATTATATTATTCTAGGAAGGTCTAATAATCATATGGAAAGCTGATTCTTTGACTCAAATATCTCAACAGAGCGTTATTTTACAAGTTAGTGTTCCTGGTGAAGCTGTCACTTATGTATTAAGTAAATCATCACCTGCAGGTCGATCTGATCAGTACGTAGATTTATAAAAAAAAAAAGACAAATTACACATACAATTAATTTTTTTATTTTAAAGAGATTATCGTGAATTAGCTCGAGCAGCAGTTGAAGGTGATCAAACTGCATTAGATTTATTGGCTATGAAAACAAGTCGACAACAGACTAGTGATCCAACACTATTTTTTATTGGTACAGATAAAGGAAATGTTTATATAGTAACAGATAGATTACGAAAAGCTTGTTCAGTTGATGATGGAGTAGCACGTATATTACATTCATATGAATATAATATTCTTATTGTTATCACTGTGACAAATATGATGACACAATATAATATTCAAGAAGTACAAGCACAATCAGAAGTTTTAATTCCAACACAATCTGTACGTTGATACATTTGATAAGAGACAGAGAAAATCTTTTATTATCATTTTTAGGGAAAATTATCTGGTCGACCAACAGATTCCGATTTTACTTTAATTGGTTCAGGCTTATTTGCGTATGTAACAGGTGAACCAACAATACGTATGATTGATCTTGCTTCATCGAATAATCTTCTACTGAGATTAAATCCAGCAATGGGTTTTGCAAATAATGAAGCTTTGATTTCTGTATCCTACAGTGCAATGAAAGGTATATTGACTTAGAATAAAATTGTGTATGTGTTTCTTTCTGATATTAGGAATTATTGCTGCTGGTACCAATCGAGGAAATATTGCATTTTGGATTTATACACCAAATCATCGTAGTACAGATATGGAAAAACATTGGAATCTTCAACGAGTCAAAGCAGTTTCCGCTGGAGTCCCTATTCGAACTTTGAAGGTTGAACAAAAAATTGATCTTTGTTTAAATACATACGTCATTTTTTTAGTATTGTCCTCAACGAAATTCTCTTGCTGCTAATTTAAATACACAACTATTCATTTTGGCTAATGAAAATATGTCAGCAGCTTATCGAGATAATGTAAATTATTCAATATTATTTATTAAATCATTCATGTTGATCTGTTTCTTATATTTAGCTTGCTGTTGTTCAATTAAGTCCAACTGTAATTCATGTCGCATTTTTTCGATATAGTATTGTTAAAGAAGAAGAATTAGATATGCCATTTAAAAATTTATGCGTTTCAAAAGTTCGTTTTTTTGTTTGAAACATATTTTTCGTTTTAATAATCAAGTTTTAGAATTATGTTGCTGTTTGGAATAAAAAACAAATTCGTGTTTATGAACTTCTTTGTGATGCATCTAAATCAGATGATGAAAAAGTTGTTCGAACTGAGAAAGGTTCTTTTTCTTGTTCACCAACAAATGTAATTCTTTTCGATCAACTCTTATTCGTACATGAAAATGGTCGTATTAATGTTACGTCATTTCAAGTAAAAATCTTATAAATTAATTTACAAATAAATTTCTATTATATATTCATAGGGTACATCTCGACAATCATTAACATTTGCTCAAAATGAAGGTGAAGTTAATAGAATGAATTCAAATGCATCTTTCCTTGTTATTGGTTCAACCAAAGGTTATGTAAAAGTTTTCGATATATCTCGTCGGTAAGTACATATAATTCAACAATAATTTAAGATTTTCTTCCGTCATATTAGTGAATTACGACCAATTGGAAAAACATTAAATATTAATTCACACACACCATCTGTTGATTCAATACGAGAATTAGCAGTGAATTGTAATGGAACAAAAGTAACAGTTTTAACATCACAAGTAACTAAGTTTTTTCTTTTTGTTTGTATAAAATTCTTTTATTATTCAATAGACAAATCTTCAACCAAGTAGTCGACTTTATATATGGGATGTTGAAAAAGATACAGTGGCTATATTTGATTTTAGCCTAGAAAAATTACCAGGTACAGAGTATGGTCTTATTCGGCTAAAAGATAATACTAATAAAAATGCACCACAATATCGTCGTTATCCATCGAATGTTCAATGGGATCCAGAAGACTCTCGATTGATGGCATTAGAAATTTATTTACATCAACAAAAATTTGATTTAAGTGCATCATTAAATACAGATGATTTACTTTTAACAAGTAGAGGTGTTGGTGATGGTGATTCAACTATTGCAGCTAATCATACTGCTGTTACAGGAGAAGCATCTAGAGCAAATCATGAAGATTTGGTAAAATATTTTCTCAGAAATTATTGTTACAAATGTTTTTTTTTTGTTAGGCTGAATCATTTATTGTAAGTATGTTTTGTACACCAGACAATCAAATAGTTCCAAAAGAAGTTTTTCCACGTCATACATCTTATCGTCAATTAATGGCTATTAAAATTCCATTTTATTTCTTTGTTACACGAGATAAACATTCAGAATCAAATGTACATGCAATTAAATCAACTCAAACATTACAAGGAACCAAAGCTGAACCATTGGATACAACTGATGACAATCTTTCAAACAAAAACTCTCGTATTCGTATTCAACTTCCTAAACTTGATACACTCGATGCAAGTGGTCTTATTCCTCATACAAATAATCATGATAATCAGTCAAATGGTTTTTTAACTGATTCCGAGCTTGGCGGTATATAAAATTAAAAAAAAAAAATACTAATTTTTTTAATTTTTTATTCTTTCTAGATAGTATTGTCTATTCAGATTATTTAACTGGTAAAACAATGGGAGATTTTGTTGGTGTTAATGGTCTTGAGAAAAATATTGTTGAAGCAATTATGAATTTTAGTTATCATTTAACATTAGGAGATCTTGATGCTGCATTTAAAGCAATAAAAATTATAAAAAAGTTTGAAAAATATTCTTCAAAAAAAAACAGTTAAATTAAATATTTATTTATTTATTTATTTATTTAGAGAAAGTGTTTGGGAAAACTTAGCTCGTATGTGTGTATTAAATCGACGTGCTGATGTCGCCAAGATTTGTCTTGGTAAAATGGGTTTATTTCGTGGTGCACGAGCTTTACGTGCTATTGATCAAGATAATGCAGATATGAAAGTAGCTATTTTAGCTATACATTTAAATATGAAAGTAAATTTGTTTCAAATTACTTAAAATTATATTATGTTTCTTTCTTTCTTCTAAAGGAAGAGGCAGAGAAAATTTTACTTCAATCAAAACAATATGATCTTCTCAATCAATTATATCAATCAACAAATGAATGGGGAAAAGCTATGGATATAGCAACAAATTTTGATCGTATTCATTTACGTAATACATATTATAATTATGCAAAACATCTTGAAGAAAATAATCAAACGGAAAAAGCTATTGAATAGTAAATCTAAGAAAATTATTTTTAATCGATTACAAACTTCTGATTTCTTTTATGAATAGTTATGAAAAATCTGGAACACAAGCAACAGAAGTACGAAGAATGTTCATTGAACGAAAAGATATGGCAGGATATAAAGCATATACAGCAAACAAAAATGATCCGTATGTTGTTTGATTCAATTCTATGTAATTGATTATATTCATTTAGAAAATTATTTCGTTGGTGGGGTCGTTATTTTGAAAGTCGTGGTAAAATTGAAGATGCACTTGGATGTTACCGAAAAGCAGATGATAATTTATCACTTTGTCGATTACTTTGTGAACAAGATCAACCTGATAAAGTAAAAATTTTTTCCATCAAAAACAAAAATTTTATTTTCATATAAAAATGATTTTAGGCTATGGAATTATGTTCAGATACTGGTAATAAAGCTGCTTGTTACCATATGGCACGTCATTTTGAGAAGAAAGGTGATTTTAAACAAGCTATTGCTTATTTTCAACAAGCATCAGCTATTAGTAATGCGATGCGACTTTGTCGGGATAATCGATTGGATGAATATATGGCTAATATTGCTGTACAAGGTACACCAGATGATATGCTTGAAGCAGCACGATACTTTCAAACATTACCTATGCAAGAAGATCGTGCAATTTTACTCTATCATAAAGTATATTTTTCAAAAAAACAAATATAAACTAAATTCTATAATTTAGGCTGGATTAACTTCGAAAGCAATTGACTTAGCATTTAGACATGAACGATATTCAGCATTAGCACAGATTGCTGATAGGTAGATTCTATAAAAAGACTAACGAATCAACTTATTTATTTTAAATTAGTGTTGGTAAAACTGCTGATCCAACTCAAATTACTCGAATGGCTGATTATTTTATGCAATTAAAACAATTCGACAAAGCTGTTGATTTACTTGCTGCTATTGATCGAGTTTGTTTTTATTTGAAATATTTTATTGTTATTTATAATTCGATTTAAATAGGTTGATGAAGCAGCTGACTTAGCTATAAAAAATGAAATTCCATTATCAGAAGAATTACTTGAACGATTAAGTCCTGCTAAACGTAAGACTAGTTGTTCAATAATCTTTGTTTTATTATTTATATATTTTAGCTACAAATGAAGAAGATATGCCTAAATATCAAGCTATATGTGAGAAATTAGGTGATTTAGCTGCTAGTCAAGGAGCATATGCTGGTGCAGCAAAGAAATATCTTGATGCTGGCAATAAGACAAAAGTAGAATACTATATTTTTTAAACTTTGAATTATTTTCTTTTTTTTTGTTTATAGTCAATACGTGCTTTAATACATTCAGGTGATGTTGAACGTATAACAATATTTGCAAATGTTGCACGTAACCGTGAAGTTTATTTACTTGCTGCTGATTATTTGAAAACATTGGATTGGAAAAAATATCCAGATGCATTACAAAATATAATGAATTTTTATAAAAAAGCAAGAGCATATGAAAAACTTGCACAATTTTATGATATGTGTGCACAAGTATGATTAAAATATTTGAATTAAACTTGTACACATCTATTTTCATTTCTTTTTAGATTGAAATTGAAGAATATCGAGATTATACAAAAGCTTTAGGTAGTATAAAATTTTAATCATCATTATTATTATCTAAATATTTTTCTAGAGGCATTAATGGAAGCATATAAAATATTAAGAGATAATGGAGAAAATACATTTACAAAAGATGAAACATTGCAAGAACTTGAATTGAAATGTCGAAATATTAAACGATTTCTTGATGCTAAAGAGTAAGTTAATGAATTTGCGTATATATATATTCTAATGTTTTTGTTTAGTCGGTATACTAGTGATCCTGAAACAGGTGCTCGTGAATTCGCTACTTTATTAAGTGATCCAAAAATATTGACGGGTGTTCATCCAGGTGATATTTATGGAATATTAATTGAACATTTTGGACGACGTGAAAAATATAAACAAGTATAATAAAAATTATTTTCATTAAATTTCTTTTTATTTTCTATATTTTCAAAACTAGGCTGGAATGTTACTTGATGAGTTACAAGAACATATTTCTGAACGTTATTTTTCTCATTATATTAATCCAAATATACTATCGGCTATCTATACTGCAACTGGACGTAAAGTGGGTCAAGCAGATAGTAACACATATAATAATGATGATGACAATGATGGTGACAACCAAAATGATCGTCGACGACAACAACAACAACAAGGACAATTAGGAAAAAATCATGCATATGCAGAAGAAATTGATGACAATCTCGATTATGGATCTGTCGATGATTAAAAATAAACTCTTTTTTTTTGTACAGTGTTGTGTTTTTATAGGAGCATATAAAGCCTTTTCTGAAAAGAAAATAAAACGTCTGCTTTGTTTGTTAATTTATGAACAATAAAATCAATCAGCAAACATTTTGTTTTCATTTAATAGTCATGACGAAAATGAACAGAGTCTGCAATATACTAATTATCATTCCATATGCTCATTGGCATGTTGTTGACGATCATCATACGTCATACTTATTGGAAAGATCATAAAACACATAGGACATTTATCACTCATAGTCTTAGATTCTGCTTTTGATGACTGTTGTTCGCTAAAAAATCAAATTTGAAAGCATCATAACAAAGAAACGTTTTGATATAAACACATACTTTGTTTGTTCAGAGTTGGAAGTTTTTATATCGTTATTTATTTCTACCTTGTCATCAGCAATCTTTTTCATTCTTCTTCGACGCCTAGCTGCATCTCTAGCAGTGCTTATGACTTCTAGATACACTGTTTCATACTTTGGATATCTAAATGTAGCTATTTGATATTTTAATGATTGACATGCTTCAAGTAACTCGTTAAACAGATCATCTTGTTTTGCAGTATGATAAATATTAGCAGTTTCAAGATTTTCATTACGTTGTTCTCTAAAAAGAAGTTTCTGCTGGTTATAAGCATCGTTAAGAAGGTGTTTTTGTTGATTCGCATGATTAGTAATTTTTTCAGTGTTCTCAGTGCACCATTTGTCTATTTGATTCGTTGCTTCTTCCCATTCATTGTCTAAAGTCTCACAATGTTTCGAAAATATATTATTCATTTCATTAAAGTAGTCATTCTCTTGCGACGATTTCTTACGAGGAAGAGGTATTGGAGCATTGTCCGCCATACTATGAAAATCTTTCTTATCGACGAATATCTTGGCAAACAATAGTTGAAAGAACAAAAACAACAAATATAATTCTGCATTTTTTTTATTTACGCACATGTTTTTTACATGAGGGCAAAGAACGAAAATTTGGTTGTTACATTTTTGTAACATGCGTATTTTGGGGATTTTCTGTTATTGATCAATATTCTCTCTCGATATTAGAATGTATGGTATAAGTCTCTAGTATTACTATCTTGATCATCTATCATATGTTCATTGATATGTTGATGCCGATTATGATAGCTCATATTTGATGGAAATATCATATAACATATAGGACATTTACTAATAAGCTGATTACTATTCGTATGATGAACTTGTGTATCATTTACGATCAAAGATGAAGCAACTGATGGCTTTTGACTAAAACGAAAGAAATTGAAAATCATAAAATAGAAAACATATTTTTATCTATTAATTTACTGCATTTCAGTCGGAATGAATGATGATCGTTTATAAGATGATTCTACGATGTTATATTCACTGTTTGCCGTTATGCCATCGTCTCCAATCGTCAATCTTCTTCGACCATTTTCAGATGGAAATAGATGTGAATTTAACTGTTCTTTGCCAGTAATTACTTCAGGACGATCTAGTTCTTTGCGCACATATGTGAGTTGTGCCACTTGAAACTGCAATAACTGACAAGCATTACGTAGTTCATTAAATTCAGTAGTTTGTTTTGATTTATAAAAAAAACTTGCTGTATGAAGATTTTCATTACGTTTCTCATCAAAAAAACGTCGTTGACGATCATAATCACATCTAAGAATGTGAAGTTGCTCATTAACATGCATTTTGATTTCTTGTATACATCGAGATTGCCACATTTGTATTTCGTTAATGGTTACTTCCATTTGATTTTTCAATTTCTCCCAATGATGATAGAATATCTCACGAATTTCATTCTCTTTCTTATTACTGTTATAACTGTGGCGACAGGGTTGATTTAATATCATGCTCATAGTTAATAAAGAAAATCTACAATGTAATGAACAGTATTTATTGAGAGTATAGAACACAAATTTTGAAATATTAGAGATTGATGCAGTAAAAATTAAGTCCATAAATAAATGAAATCTTATTCAATATTATCTTTTACCAGCTATTGATTTCGTTGGTTGTTATTGTTATTTCATTTTTCATTTTTTTCAAATGTTGTTAAAATGTCGCTTGAATTTTATCTTCTTCCTTTCTACTTTTAGGTAAATAACGTCCACGTGGCTTTAACAAAGCGTTTATAATATAAAAAAAAGACATCTACAATGCCCCGAATTTCATAATTCTCTATTTTTGTGTAAAGTAGACTATTCAATGATTACTTTTTCCTTTCAATTCAAAACACATAGGTTACGAGTGTTGTAATCAATAGATGAGTTTATTTAAAAAAAATGAATAAAGATCCATCTATGGAAAGTATCTTGTTTCTACGTGCACCACGCTCCACCCCAGTTGACTCGACACTTAATATTGCAACACGGTATTTTTCCATCACATACAGCACCTGGTGGTGCACAGTCGTCAGTTTTGTCCAATTTTTCACCAAGAGCCGAAAGAATAGATCCAGCTTCGACTGTATAAATCATCAAAAGCGATGCTAGCAATCCAAATATAAGCAGAGTCCGTGTTAAAGAACGCATGGGGATAATATAACACAGTATTTTTACAATTGAATTAAAGAAAAAACAAAAGTAAGAGTCGTATTTATCTGCACTTTATTTATAGTCATACGAATTAGTTCCCATACGGTTTTCTTCGTCATACTTACAGCATTAAAATATTTGATTTAATTTCTTTTCTTTCTAGAGTATTTTGGCATCGTTATAGTATGATATCGATCAAGATATAAATATCGATTAATAATATTCTTTATGAGAATGATGGAGTAAAAACGATAAGGATACTATTCAAGGCTAATTAAAACAAAAATGTGTCAATATGAAGATACACGCCACCTAAACTAGCGAGAGTATCTCCAAGAGGATGTGAGTGTGGGGTGGATGTGGATGTACGCATGACCTAAGAGAGCGGACATCCGCACCCACACAATAACGACTAGCGGGGGTAAACAAATGGCGGGCAGAGGGCAGCTATTCATTCTTCATTGCTCTTTCAAAACCGTGATGATTCACCAGATATAATATTGCAGTTCAACATAGTTGTAAAAGGTAAATCGGTGCAATCATGAGATGAGAGATGATTGGGACAAAACAAAATGGGATGAACTATAAGGGGGCGAAATGAATGGCTACTCGTTTTTTCTCCTGCATGACCTGAATGTATTTATCCTCGTTTCGCATAGTAGAAAAGATATCGACGCATATAGAACATAACAGAATGAATTCAAAGGAATTGTTTAGTCAATATTCACCCTTATCCTAAAAATACCATAATAATTTTGGTTAGAATATGTGTGTATACTTTATTTTTTGTAGTGATGAGAAAGTGAGTAACAAAAAGCAATTATAATATTATATTGAAAGCATTAAGCGTAAAATGAGAACATCCGGCAATATATAAGTCCGAATTAGAATCATAATGACTGGCATGTATTCAAAAGAATGTATGCACAGTCGTTCTTACTGCTTGAGTCTGAAACAGCAAAATCTAATCGACCATCGGCATTAAAATCAGCTACAACGAGCCAGTACGGCGAAGAACCAGAACCAGTTGAAAACGTCATTTGTGATTTGAAACTACCATTGCCAATTCCAAGTAACACACTCACAGCCATACCACTAGAATTGGGAACGATAAGATCTAATCGGCCATCACCGTCAACATCACCGACAGTGACGAATTGCGGGCTCCGACCAGTTGAAAATGTCTTTTGTAGCCCAAAAGATCCGTTGCCGGTCCCAAGGAGCACTCCCACACTAGCCGAACTAAAGTAGGCAATGACAATATCTAGTCGGCCATCGCCGTTAAAATCACCGGTAGCGATCGACCAACCCACAGAACCCGTTGAAAGTATTGTTGGTAATCCGAAACTCCCATTGCCGGTTCCAAGAAGCACACTCATAATTGCCCAATAGAAACCCACAACGACAAAGTCTAGATGACCATCACCATTGAAATCACCAACAGCAATGGAGTATGGACTAGCGACGGAGGGATATGTTGTTTGTGTTGCAAAATTTCCACTATCAGTTCTAAGGAACACTCCCACGTTAGCTGAGTTGGCGTTAGCAACGACTAAATCTAGTCGCCCATCCTCATTAAAATCCCCGACAACGATCGCGCGTGGACTAAAACCCGTTGAAAGTATTGCTTGTGATCGGAAACTCCCACTGTTATATCCATATAGTATACTCATAGTGTTTGCTAGATTGTTGATAACGGCAAGATCTATTCGACCGCGGTCATTATCATATACGACAGCAGCCCACATCGGACCGGAATCGGTTGGAAACATTTTTTGCGATCCGAAACTTCCATTACTGGTTCCAAAGAGCACACTTACGGCGCTCCTAGTATAGATGGGAACGAGAAGATCTGGTCGGCCATCACCGTCCAGATCACCAGCAGCGATCGAATTCAAGTTAGAGACAAATGAATATGAAACTGCTGTTGCGAAGGTCAAATTTTTACATGGTTTGACTAACAGTAAAGAAAATAAAGTGAAGATTAGAAAAAAGAAGCTTTTTTCAATTTTCGAAGGCTATCGACAGAGACTGATGATGTATATGGATTATTAGTCTATCGGGCATTTATGGTTCAACTTACGAAACATAATAATTTCTTATCAGAGCAACTTGTAATAAAGTTTGTTGTCAATCGTTTGCTACCGCTCGATGATGTCTAAAGTTATTTTATTTTGGAGCGTAGTTAAATCAACGATCCATTTGCAATGTACTCTTCTCCTTTATACCTTCTTGTATTTTTTCACACGCTCTTTCAACTACTGTCGTAATACATTTCTCTTTTTCAAAATCAATGTGCTCTTTTATTGAACCTAGGAGTCGAGAAAATATGAAATAATGATGGCTTGTTCAACAGAAAAAAATGCAATGTCGCGTAATAGAATTAACGTCTTACGCAATTTTTGTAAAAAAATACCGGTGAATTTTTCAATCTAACACGAATGATGTGGATCAATTTCATTTTCTTAAAATAGTGCAACGGAAATAATGTAAAGATATATGAAAGTAAGCCTTGTTCCACGATTGAAAATTAATTGATGACCTTTCAAACAGAAAATCGATAAAAAGGTTCTATCCATTATGTGACATCACGTTTTTTCAAACGAAGAAATGAAATTTCTTTTATATTTTCGCCATCGTTCCATTGCCCTTTTAGGATGAAATAGGGCATTGCTTTTTATCCTTTCTCTCGAGCAACTGCCTGGAGCGAGTTGGATCATACTTTTTTTATGGGTAAATAGGGCATCTCCGCTTCCTTCTCTTTCCGCATCCTGATTTTCTAACTCGTGACAAAAGACTCATGCGTTCTTTGACCAAAGTAAAGTCATATCGGTGATTTCATCGAAGAAATTAATAACATTTCTCAGAAATGATGAAAAAGACATTAACGACATAAGATGTTTTATAGTTGTACACAAAATAACATTGAAATAACGACCCTAGTGAGATTAATTTCAAACTCAAACGAATCCTCGCTTTTATAAATGTCTTTAGGTAGTGACTAGAGTGTGATAGGTCTGAGAGGTTGGAAGGATCTGTGAGCTCTTACTAACTCACTTCACCTTCTTGTCTCCGTCACTGGTCTCTGCAAGGATATCAGAGGGCCAACGGATCTACCTATCAAAATATTAAATCAAATGGTGATTACTATTCTAGTCGAAATATTAGATGTAGTTCACCATTCCGTGTCGTTTTCATATACATGGTAGAGGCAACAGTTTGATGATTTTACCGTTAGCCTGATGAAAACTAGTAATATCCAGTTTAATATTTAATATTGCATTTTGTGCGAAAATCTTCGAAATACACAAGTGCAGCTAAAGACATTTTTAGAAAAAATTATACCATAACAATTTACCTATAGCGTTGAACTTTTCTAACTTACATAATGCGTGACGACACTCACGTCAAATTTTGGATCACAGTTGAGGCTGTTATTTTCTTCAGATATTGCTCATTGAAATTCAAACATCTTTTGCGCAGCTAAATTTGTCACCTTATTTCCAGAAGAAATTAGATAAAACACTATAAATTCTCACATCTGGATTATGTCTAATGAAGAACATGATAGTCAAACTCGTTTTGCTCATACCAAAGTAAGTTTCTTAAAAACAGAACAAATCCGACATTCGACGAGGTAGTTCGTGGATCCACCTTGTCAATAATATCAAATGCCACGAAAAATGATCTACTATGCAGTTTTGGTCGTCTAGACGAGAGTGATACTCTTTCTCTCAGGTTTGATCAACAATTCAAATGCATTAATGAAGTTCTTCGAAACGGTCAAGAGCAACAGACTTGATGTCAAAGATGGGAGTTGGGATAGTTCATCTTGAAGATCATGATGCAAAACTTAGGTGATCTAACTTCCACTGAATGAAAACATCATAGGGGAATGCGGTGAGGTAATCTGACTGTACAAACCTGTTGGAGTCGAGACTGTTCTTGTTGAAACAATCGTCTTAGTTGTTGTGCTCATTGTCGTATGATCACCTGTGCTTGTTGTCGTGCTCGTATCTATGCTGATTGTCGTGGTTCTACTAGTAATGATGCTCTTGTTGGTAGTGGTGCTTGTAATGCTCGTGCTTGTTGAAGAAACTAGCAAACGAAAATGTTTGAAAACGATTCGATACCACGTATAGGATCACTCAAACAATAAGAACGTGATTAGCAATCGAAATTCTCAAGGCTTTGCAAACTGTATTGAATCGTAAAAATCTTCAAAATAGTTTTAGATCTAAAGATTTATTATTCTCTTGAGTGTAGAACAACTGATCAAGTCAATTCCAACTTTCTCATTTCGATTCGATTTCGTCTCTGATTTCTAGTAATATTATGCTGTAAATAAATATTACACTATTGAGAGTGGCTACTGTTGTTTTAGCTTGTGAATAAAGTGAACTTAAATATCGATAAAGTAGTAATAAAGAAGATCTTACCTGTTCGTGCAACTTGATTCTGATTTTGTCGAGTCAGATAAACGGATGGGATAATGATAGCGGCTGCTACAAGCATGCACAATGCAAACCCAACGAGGGCCTTGAGATGGCGTCGTATTAATGCGAAGAATCTTGTCCTAGAGAAGACAACTGTAGATTATGATTGAAATTAAAACGAGAGAAGCATACCGAAGTGTTAGAACCGAGGGTAACGACTTTGAATCAACAGTGACACTGCTAACGTTTGGAGGATTCAAGAAATTTGGATTCAGATTTAAATGTTGATTCTGGTCGATGGAAAGACGTTGTTCATGAACGATGCTTTCAACTGATATTCTGTTATTATTCAAGGAAGCCGTTGGAACCTAAGAGACAGACATCAGTTACAGGAGGATACAGTTATAAGAAGGGCATACATCTTCAACGATCACAATTTTTAACAAAGGAGGGTGGGTGTGGGTGAGGATGTTTTCTTTCATTACCCACATCCACACCCTCACACACCCTGGGTCCCCTTTGGTTCAGCTCTTAAGCTAGTCTTCTATTTATTTTCTTCGTTCTGTGGAGATAGACAACTTCACGAATACATATTTACCTGCTGTACTCCAATTTGTGCTCTTTGCTTGTATTTTCTGATTAGGTTGTAAGCAGAAAAGACGAGAAAGGGAACGATGAGTTTGAGAAAAGTTGTCAATCCGCCATAAAGACCCAAAATTGTGGTGAGAATGATGATCAAGCTGTTCGGTTCGAAGAGCGTCACAGAACAAGAATCGGGTTGACACTGTTCGAAAAATTGATCATATGAGACATTTGACGAACAAGTTTCGATGAACATTTGTTGAACGATCGAGTCAACGGTATCATTTGAAAAAAAACGAGTTTTGCTTTTGTTCAGTGGTGCAGGAGACTCGGATAAAGACAAGTTCAAGTAGCTAGCGAGCAGGTTAATACAAGACTGTTCGTACAAACATTCGATTGTACTTCGAAGGAGTGATTCAAGCGGAGTACAACCAACAACATAACCTGGAATGAATGGAGTCGATGGCTGAATACACGTTGACGATGTGGCACAGTTACAATTATCACTGCCATAGTACTGTGGTTTGAAGTAAATTATTCCGGATTTAATTATATAGTGGGTAATAGGATACCAGTTTGTCGAATAGCCAGATATCAGTCCGTTGCCTTGGATAATGCCACGTATCATTTGAAGTGAAATTAAAAATGAATTCGACAATGTCGATTGGAAATCAACGAGTGATGCGTTTGTTTGTTTATCGAACAGATCGAAGTCAATCATGTAAGCAGAGGCGACGGATGAAGTAAGATATTGTTGTCGAGCATCGCTTACGGCATCCTTTGTCAGATTGCACAAGGAAAGAAGAGCTTGTAAATGACTGAAAAGAGTGCCTTGAAGCGTAAATGCATTTGATGATGCAAATGCCGTATCCGAATCATTGTATAATAGAAATAGTTCTTGTAGATATGACTCAGAGATGAACTGACTCGCACACACAGGATGAAAGTCACATTCCAATTTGATAAATGACGAATGTGTAACAGATAACTGAGAGCATGGACAACTGACAGCATCTAATCCGTAGCGTTGTTGCAACTGTTGATATTGCTCACGAGATGGGCTTGCTATTATGATAGTATTCGTGTTATAGGTCAACGAAGTATAGAGAATGAGAATAAGTGATGCAATAACGAGAAGAAGTAAATAGACTCGTGTTGCTGGATATTGTTGTTCAATACTGACCATACTTTCTGTGTCGTCAAATACATTCAACTTCTTGAACCAATCCAGAATTTTAGTACCGATTGTTACAGGACGTGATTGAGGAGAAGCTAAAAGTTATTTCATCAAAAATGTTCTATGATTAATTAAAATGTGCTCTTACTCGATTCTATCATTATTTGTTGATGCCATGACATACGGCTTCGAATGATTCGAGCACATACCATAACTAGAAATGGAACTAGAATGCGCAGAGAGACAAACAGTCCACCAATCAGACCAATAATTCTCGTGATAGTTTCTAGTAAACTGTCGCGTCGTACAGCCTTATAGGAGCAAGATGCTGGTTGACACTGGGTAAAATAAGAAGAATAATTCGTGGATTCCTTCCAAGATTCAATAAACATTTCTTCGAATATAGAGCCGATTGTGCTATGTATCGTAAAGCGGCTAGCATCAGAAGAAGAATTGAGTCGAGTGAAATTGCTAAAGGAAGATACATTGTATAACTTGTACATAATGGTTAGACAGTCTTGATTGTCATAGAAACATTCAAGTGTCGATTGTAGTAATGATTCAACTGGAAAACAGCCTAAATAGAAACCAGGCACAGAATATGCTGGAGTATATGCTGAAGTATTCAGGAATACACCCCAGTTCGTTTTACAGCTTGAATCATTTGCACACGAGCATATATCAGATGATGTGTCATTGCTATTATCATAATATGCGATTGACAAAGAAGCATTATAGTTCGGTGAACCGGTAATACCCATGAAGAAATTAGTAGATGCACCAGTAAGAATTTGGTTGACGTGCGTGATATTGCGCATAACTTGAAGGAAGTGTAACATCCCGTTTGCTGTTTCTAATTTAAATTGATTGATATTAGAGAGCATTTGATTTTCGAATTGATCGGCTGTAAGCAGTTGAGCACCAACAAGTTGAGTTTGTGTAAATGTTTGCAACGAATTAGTAATCGTTTCATTGCATAAATTGCATATAGCTTTCAGTAGTCCAAATACCGACTGAGTCTGGGAAAAATCAAGGGTACTAACACTGGCACTGTTTAAGCTCATTATTGCTTTCATGACATTATACAAAGAATTTATCCAGCGATCTGACAAAAAGTCACTCGAGCATATTTGATGATAGAACGGTTGAAGTTGAACAAGTTTCTCATAAGGTACGGTTAACTGTGTACATGGGCATTGCAAAGAAGAAACTAAGCTGACCTGCGACTGTAATTGTTGCACAGTACCAAGCGAAGGCTTGGTCACTTCAATCAGTTTTGTCTCGACACTTAATATCCCATAAAGTGTTAAAATGACAAGAGCAAGAGCGAGTAGTGAAATATAGATTCGTGTCGTCCACTGTTGCTGCTTGATATCCGATGGTTGCTGTCGAAGTGATGATTTGAACAGATTGAGATCATGAAGTGAGTGCCATGCCAGTACCGTCATTGTTCGTGCTCGCTCTCTCCACGTTTTCGTTTCCGTCACTTTATGGAATGAAAGTTTTCAGGTAATGCAAAAAATAAAGTTTTATTCACAGAATCTCAATTGAAACTTACCGATATCAACAGAAGCATTCTGCGGTGGTGTTGGATTCAGACGGCGAAACAAAAAGGTGACTATGTATGGAATAAGAAATCGAAGAACAATTGATAGACCACCATATAGTCCAATGAGAGAAGTGAACATGTATAAAAAGCTTGAGTGTTGATTAATTGAGTATAAGCAAGACATTGGTCGGCATTGAGCAAAATAAAGTGAATAGTTGAACTTTGTCGAGAAACTTTCGACGAATAAAGTTTCAAGAATATCATTGAATGTGCTGCTTTGGTTTGTCTCTTTCAATATGTTCAGAGCAATCAGCATCGAATTCGAAGACCAATTGAAGTACGTTGCAATGGTATCAAGCGCATTTTGATTATTCAAGAAACTGTCATCGAGTGACGAAAGAAGAAGTGATTCTAAGGGCCAGCAAGCGACGAACCAGTTTTCCACACGAAAGGATAATATGTTTGGCTTCCAACTAAGTGTTGAACCAGTCTCGAGCACGGTTTGATTGTAGAAGGCAGACCACAAATTACAAGTGGCAATTTGGTAGCAGTGACAAATGACACTGCTCACGTTCGGTTGTTGATAATCTTTTACACTCGTATCTACTACCCAGTTTTGTCCGTCATCTGAGTTAAGTACTAGCGAGTTGGCAGTTTCAATTCCAGTCATGTATCGATTTCCCAGCACAAACGACCGGACAGACGAAAGGGAGCGAAGGAAGTTTGTGCTGCTACTAGTTCGAAAGGCCGCAATGGTTGCTGTCACTTCAGCATTTAATAAAGGCTCATTCAATAAATAGCCTGAGATGAGTTCTCCATCGTAAAATGTTTGAATGTTATTGTTGATGGTTGTTTGTGACAAGTTGCACAGTACCCGTAAAACTTGAAATTGATTGCTAGCCGTCGCACGGAAGTCCGCCACATACCGTATGTATGTCGTGTCATCGAAAAGCATATCGATCCATGTTTGCGAGACAAAAAAACTGGAACATATGTCATGATATACCGGAATTAGTTCAACGAATGAACGATATAAAGCAGATATTTGGGCACACGGGCATTTGATGTCGTAGGTATTTTCCAGTTCCAAATATGTTTCCAGAGATGGATTTCTCACTTCAATTTGTTGTGTTTTTACAGCTGATGCATTGTAGACGAGTAGAATGGACATGGCAGAAAAGAGAAGCGTAATATAAATGCGAGTTGACCATCGTTGAATGGTGATCGCCTGTCCATCAGTTAAATCCGTTTTGAATAGATTCAACTCGATGAGAAATCGTCGCAGACGATGATGACGACGTAAGTCATTCCTTCTTTCCATCTTGCGTTCCCACAATTGAATTGTCAAGGAAATATCCTATCAATAAGACATGCTATATGTTTAATATACAGGGATTTTTCAAGTAAAAAAGTTTTATAGTAGAAAAATATGTAAATTTCAATTCGAGTAATGTAATAATCCGTAGTAATTGTAAAAATCGATTATATCTCTCTTTCATAAGTAGTGTGCTGTATGTCAACTACGTCAATGAGGGTGACAATTTAATGGTCAGAAAAAAGGTGCCGTGTAATGATGAAGTACGCCACTTTTTATAAGCAGAGTAGTCTGAGAATTGTACTAATTTTATAGGAGAGAGAACTTTTTTTCGATTTCGAGCATTTAGTGAAACAACATATACTTGAAAACTATCTTTATGTAAAAAGAGGAATATATTTGTAAGACTTTACAGAACCGATAAGTTCAACTAGACGTAAACGCCGAGTTGCTCATAATCAATAAAGAGGTTTTGAATTTTCAGATACTAGATATTTTTCTTTCGTGTACTAGTTGCGACTACTTTCTGTTCTACTGGATGGTTGAAAGCAGAAAAAAACACTTTCCCTCAAATATATCGCACAGTTCAAATGGGTTTACCCTAATAAAAATTCTGCACTAAAGAGCATCTAACTAAGTTTAGATACGTATCAACATATTTTATTTATTTATTTGATATGAAAAGCTGATTATCTTATTCCTCATAAAATTGATTTTAATCTTAATAGTTAGGCCTATGATATTCATTATCATACTAATTATTGTGTCTCAAAACTTCTGCGGATTCCCGAAGTGATCTGCGATTTCTACTGAAAAAGTCTTTATAAATAAATAACACTATTCGGACTCGGGTTGAACTGGCTAGGCTTCGAAAATTCATTGGGTTACACAAGGCCAGGCTTAGGTAAAGTTGAATTGAACCTGGTAAGATCGGGCTACAAAAACGTAACCCATCTTGAGGGCATAGGTGTCCAGGTAGATGAATGATATTCTATCATTCACACCCACACTCTCAATGATTCGAAATGTCGTATTATTAAAGACTATCGGACAAATTTTACTCGAATTCTGCTAGCCAAACCGTCGATCCAGTAAAAGGCCGTTTTTTTGTGCCATAAATTTTCATTGCTTCTACACCGATAACTACTCCTCGTACATCCTCCAATTCACAATTCAATTGATTTAGATAAGATTCTCAAGAAAATGAAAGAAACAGGTAAGAAAACACATTCTTTACTTTAATCACTCTAGGTTGTGATGCTCGAGTAAGATTCAGGAAATAAACGTTATATAGATTTATTGAGTGACTAACTCGAAATCAACGAGCAGAAAATACGCGATATGAAAGTTGCTATAAAAGTATGAGAAGAGAAACTCATGGCCAAAGATCAAGCAATTCACTAAATTCAAAACGAAGTGGAAAATACAAAGTTTAAATTGTTTAATAATTAAAAAGACATAAATGTCCTCTTTGAAACCATCCTGACATTATTCATCTTCCTGCGAGCAAATACGACACTATCTCTTCCACATAATTCATATACCATGTCCGTCAATAAAATAAAAAAAATTCGATATCAACTTCATACATCTAAATTGATTTTCGATTTTATGCACTCTATTCATGTGATCCTTTTCTTCTTTGTTACCAACTCTTTCTCTTCTTTTTTCTAAATAGATTTTAATCTTTTTCTGCTGAATTGGTTATCACTTTAGGACCACTAGAAGTCATAGATAGGCAAGTACTACAAAGCATCCACACCCAAATTTCAATTGAATCTAGGTTTGAACTTACAATTGGCCGTGGTTTAGACATTGAAACATCCAATATCTAATTATCATTCAAACCCAAACTCATACTCACAGCCACACACACTAGGTATGCAACGGTGACAGTGGCCACCAATTTACCGTTCATCGGTGTCACCACTCAACGGTGAAAGTATGAAAAATCTACGATGATACTCGACTTTCTTCAATATTCAGACGATTTTATATTAAAA